TTATTGATCGTTTTACCATGCCTTAATTCATGAATTTCGCGTGAAAACACTTCAGCCTGTACTAGCTTTATTACGCGTAAATGAGCTTCGTGAATCTCCCCTTGACTAAGTGGCCCGATGTCTCTTTCTTTCTTCTGTAAAATCTTACGGAAACGGAGCAGATATGCGACGACTCTATTTAATCTATGGATAGAAGAAAAACGTGATACTAAATTGTTTATGTCGTGTTTAATTACTAATGAGACCGAAACGCGTTTTTCAGGTATCTCGATAACAGGTAATTTTCTGGCTGGCCAAGTGTTCTCGTCCTGAGACAACCAATACGGACCGTTTAGCCACATTTCGTTTTTTAAAAATTGTGCTGGAGGTTGCCCTCGTGAAATGAAATCAGCAGGATTATCTGCCGTCGATACGTGAGACCAGTTTTTGTTCTCAGTTATGTCCTGTATCTCACTGACTCGATTCGCGACAAAGGTTTTTAAAAGATGAGGTGGCGTTTTTACCCAATGCAGGGTGATCGTGGAATCGGACCACAATCTGATCTTCTTAAATTCTATGTGTGGTAATGCATTTATCGTCTCTCGTACTAGTTTTGCTAGTAATCTGGCAGCACACAATTCCAGACGGGGTAAGGACAATGTCTTAACTGGAGCTACTCGCGATTTTGCACAGAGTAACGCAACGTGATGTTTGTTATATTTATTGGTCGATCTAATGAAAATACAAGCGCCATAAGCAGACTCGCTCGCGTCGCAAAATCCATGCAATTGGAATTCAACCGCGAAATCTAAAGTTATCTTTCTTGCCGTAGCGAAACTACCTAGTAAATTCAGTTCATTTTTGAATGTTAACCATGTACTAAAAATATTATATGGAACGGACTCATCCCAATTCAGGTTTTCTTTCCAAATCTGTTGCATAATTATTTTTGCTGTAATTATCACTGGACCCAGCAACCCCAACGGATCAAATAGCTGGGCTATTTGCGACAGAATTACGCGTTTTGTGATTCGCTCGGTTTTGTCAAGTGGCTTGATTGTGTATAAAATATCATCCCTTGATGGGTTCCAAAAGACACCTAACGTTTTTTTTGTTTCAGTTACGTCTAAGCAGAGCGGTTTTTGCTCAATTTGCTCACCCAAATCCTTTATTAAATTATAATCATTAGACGCCCACTGTCTCAAATTAAACCCCCCTAGTTTTGCTAAGCCTATCAGTTCATCTCTTAGCCTTGTGGCTGAATCAAAATCCGGTGCTCCCGTGAGCACGTCGTCGACATAGAAGTCTCTTTTAAATATTTGCGCCGCTATCGGATATTTCGCGCACTCGTCTTCAGCTAGCTGCCTTAAACATCGAACGGCTAAGAATGGTGCCGAAGCAGTACCATAGGTTACAGTGTTCAATTTATAAGCCTTTATAGGCTGCTCCATTGAATTACGCCAAAGGATTTTTTGAAATCTAGTGTCGTCTGTATGTAGCTTAACTTGACGGAACATTTTCTCAATGTCTGCAGTTAGAACGATGGTATGCGAGCGAAATCTTAATAGAATATTAAAAAGTGTGTCCTGAATCGTTGGACCTGTTAGGAGTGTATCATTTAGTGAAATACCTGTCGAGCTCCTTGCGGAGGCATCGAAGACTACTCGAAGCTTTGTTGTATTACTGGATTGCTTAATTACCGCGTGATGTGGGAGATAAAAACCTTCCTCGGCCTGGTCTTCTGGAATTTCGCTCATGTGATTCAACGTTTGATATTCGTTTAAAAATTCGGTATACTCCTTTAATAATATCGGAGTTTTCTGAAGTTTACGTTCTAATGAATAAAAACGCTTTAATGCAAAATTACGCGATTCACCTATTAACCCCTTTTTCTCGTTAAAAGGGAGACGAACGATATACTTGCCGTTAAGATCTCGTCGTGTATTTAAAGAAAAATGATCCTCACATGCGGTTTCTTCAACCGATAAAAATTTTCTAGAGGGAATTTCCTCAATTTCCCAAAACTGGGAGAGTTGCTTGTCCAATGGACTTGTGAAATGGCATAATTTGCCTTGACCTACTGAAGTTGGACCCTGAGATTCGACACTTCCCGTGACTATCCAACCTAATTTCGTTTTTTGCAAAACGATTGAATCATTATGTACTCTGATTTGCCCCAGACTGAGTAGGCGATAAAATAAAACATTGCCTAATAAGGCATCTATTTCTCCCGGCTTGTGGAACTCTGGATCGGCTAGCCTAACATTCCTTGGTAAGTTGATTTGCTTACGATCAATCTGCCGAGCGGGTAGCCAGCCGGTAATGGCAGGTAGGGCAATAAAATCCACGCTCGAGGCAAAGGAACTAGTCTGCGACCGTATGGTCGTATTTACCGTGTATTTCGCTCGTGTATGTAGTTGACTAAGACCCGAAAAAGTTAAATCAATTTTCCTTTTCTCTAATTGCAACAAATCTGCTAACCTTTCTGTGATGAAATGAGTTTGTGAGCCCCCATCAAGTAACACGCGACACTTATGTTCACGATTGAATTTATCTAGTATTTTGATTTGTGCCGTTCCCAACAAAACTTCTGAATCACAAGTCACGGTTAATGCGGCCTTCGTTGTCTCGAAATTAGTCGAAGTACTCGGCTCATTTTCGGTGGGTCTCGCGGAATTAATTTGATTTACGCTATTAGGGAAATGCAACAAAGAATTATGTTTCCTGCCACATTTCGGGCAACCCTTCCACGTGCACGCGTACGCGTTATGGCCAACCCTTAAACAGTTCGTGCACAATTTTGCATTTCGCGCTGCTTCTGACCGCTCGCGAACCGCCATTTGCAAAAATCGCGGACACGCGTACACTTCGTGCTGTTCCCTACAAACGGCGCACGCCAGTTTTTTGGTCGTAGCAATGTAATTTTGAGGCCGCCTAACTGGTCTGATTCGTCCACGAGTATCTTGATTTATATTAGAGGAACCTAACTGATTTGCCTCTATCTCCTCACCGCGGGCTTGCTTGTTAATAAAGTTAATTAAATCCACGAATTTAGGCATGGTCTCATTTTCTAACGTTCTTTCCCATGCACGGCGGGTATTCTTATCTAATTTTTGCACGGTGAGATATACTAACACTGCGTCCCAATGTTCAATGGGTTGTTTTAATACCTTGAGCGCAGTAACATGTACCTGAACTTGATTGGCTAATACTCTTAAATTGGTGGGAGTGTCACGAGTGATCTCTGGGATATCAAACAGCAACCTTAAATGGGCCTGAACGATTTGTCGCGGCTTATTGCAGCGTTGCTCTAACAAATCCCAAGCTACGAAATAATTCTCTTCCGAGGCATTCAGAGACGCGATGACTGACGCTATTTCTCCGCGTAAAGAATTCTTTAATAAATGGAACTTTTGCACTGACGGAAGTGCTTCATTGTCATGAATTAAAGTTTTAAATGTGTCACGAAAGCTATTCCATTCGATTGGATTACCGTCAAAGGGCGGAACATCGAACTTCGGTTGAAACGCGTTCGCTTGTTTTATCGTAAACGTATTCGGCGATTCTGACATTCTACTAGCAATTACAGGTCTACTAGGTTCCTTTAATGAATTTATATTTGTTTCTAATAACGCTTGTACCGCATAATATTGCCGCTCGAATTGATCTCGTTCCTGGACGTGATCGGATATTTCATCTTCTATTTCTATCCTATCTTGAACGCTTTCGTACGCATTCCACATTTCTGCTAATTTAGACTTACGCCCTTCTAATTCGTGTATATTTAGTGTCGATGTTTCATTCACGTATGAACTAATTCGGGTTAATTGACCCTTAATAGTGGCTCGTTGCCTTTTTAAATTTTTTAAACTAATCGAGTCCTGCACAGTTGCCATATTAAATGATTGGAAATAAACGTCAGAAGGACAATGAGAAAGGAGTGCGATACGTTGTACTCACTCAAAGCGATGACCTGCGTTGCGTATGCAAGTAGTTGGCAGTTCCTCGCTGGTTTCCTCGGCAATGGCTGTTCCACGCTCGGAATGAGATCTCGTCTGCTGTCTTGATTCAGCACGGGATGATGGTCCTATCCGCCGTCGGCTGCTGTGTCCGCCCGGAAGGTCACCAGTCTCCCAATACTTGATTGACAACAGGATGCTTCACTGTTCCGTCGGCTGCTTGCTCCAAACTGTGGAAGTCCGAACGGCTGCGTCGTGGTCCTGCTGCTGTTGCTTCTTCTTCAGGCTAACGAACTTCTTAACTCTCTCACTGCGTAGTGATGGTCGGATGTTGGCATCCGGTAATCGTAATATCGGAATGAAATCCGGCTCGAAGGACCAAAATGTTTGTACGCGTAACTATTTGCGCGTTTGCCTTTTTGTACGCGTACCTCACACGCCTACTTAAAATTGTGTGAGTATTTAGGGTGCTTTACAGAAGCAAAGACGATGGTTGTTCGTTAAGTCTTTATTTTGAAACAAGTAGATGACGAGACTCTTGAGTTGTATTCTGTCTGAGCGTTGCTTGATCTCTGTCTAACAGTGGTATCTTTTAGCGCTTTTCGACTCGGTGAAGTTGTGGTTGGTTGGATTCATTAGTGGAAAGGGCGAGATGGATGGCTTCTTATTGGTGGTGCTTGGTAGGAGGGTGTATCAGGAATGTTCTTGAGGCGTGTCTTAAATGTTTAAATATTTTGGGAAAATGTTTGTCGTTGGGGCAGGTATGGTTTATTGGGGGTGTTTGCACGTGAGGTGCAGCTGTCGAGGAGTCTATGTTTATGGGGACGGTTTTAGTCGCTAAAATGCTTAATTGCCTTGCTTCTATGGTCTGCTTACGGCGACCCTTTTCCAAGCTACCTGCGTTGGACGCAAATATTCGTTGTTATAAAATATCCCGTTCTTAAAAATGATTTCGCTGCGCGACAGCGCTTGTCATATTTAATGCGGTAAATAATCGGGCCGCGCTTCTCGTGTTTGTTTTTTCTATTTCTATACCATCATTCTTTATGCAAGCGGCAGAAAGAACGGAGTGTTATAAAAGAGTAGTGTTATAAAAGTGCGATCATCATAACCGTGTCTTTGTAGAAATTATTAGACGAAATAAAGCAGAAGGTAAGTGTGGTGTTAGCTGAGGTTCATTGAGTAATTTTTAAAATTAATTTATTTTAACCCTAAGGAGCTATAATGAGCCGGAAAACTAAAATTACAAGCATAAACGAAAATCCAAGTTACCCGAGTGACACCGATGACTCTGACATCATTCCTGTTAGGAAGAGCAAGAAGCGTATATTCAGTAGCTCGGAGAGTGATAACGATTTTTCGACACACGATAATTCATCTGCAGAGGACTTGCTCAGAAAACCCGAAGAAAATATCGATAATTTTGAAGCTGAATGCAATTTTCCTAATTGGAGCAAACCGATTCATTATTTTGACCTCTTTTTTGATTCAGAACTATTGTCACTAATGGTTACCGAGACTAATAATTACGCGGAATATTCGAGGAGTTTTCTTGAACCATCAGATTTGTCTAAACTACCGAAATGGACACCAGTTACTGAACTGGAGTTGAAAGCATTCATAGCAATGATTCTAGAAATGGGCATTACAAGAAGACCCAGTATAACTTCATATTGGAGCAAAAATTCACGGCAGATACCATGGTTCAAGAAAATGTTTTCAAGAAATAGGTTTCAAGAAATTTTAAAGTATTTTCATTTGGTAGATAGTTCTTTGTGTTTTCCACCTAGTCATCCTAATTACGATCCCTGTGTGAGATTTGAACCCCTTGTTAAACACGCTAACAGAGTTTTTAAATTATATTATACGCCTCACAAGGAATTATCAATCGACGAATCCTTAGTTGGGACGTTATGTCATTCGAGTATAACTCAATATTTGCCAAACAAAAAACATCATCGCTGGGGCATAAAATTTTGGATGTTATGCGATGCCGTTTCGAAATATTGTTTAACATTTTATTGTTACAAGGGCGCAAAATCAAGAAATAATAGTGACAAAAATACGTTTGGACTAGGATATAATGTCGTGATTAATTTATTAAATGAAAGTAATTGTCTACATCAAGGATATCACGTCTTTGTTGACAACTTTTTTAGTAGTATTGAATTAGCAAGATATTTATATTCCAACAATACTTATTTAACCGGAACTATCAGACGAAATAAAAAATGTATTCCCGATCATTTAAAAACAGTTAATGTAAATGAACCGAAATATTTCAAAGATAATAATGTGCTCCTTTGTGCGTATCGTGAAAAGAAAAGCGTAAAAAAACCAGTAATACTAATTTCAACTAAATGTGAAGAAAAAAATGTGACGATAACAAAGAAAAAACACGGTAGAGAATGGCATTCAACAAAACCTGCTATCATTCACTCGTATAATACCTTCATGGGAGGTGTAGACGAATCTGATAAAATGTTATACACATATCTTGATGAACGTAGAACCGTAAAATATTGGAAAAAGGTTGCTTTCAATATCATGAATCGCATGGTTTTGAATGCTTATATTATTTATAAAAAAAATGCGAATAATAGAGCAATGACCCGGTTAGATTTTATTTCGCGAATTATTTTTTATATTGGGCGTGAATGGATGAAAGAGAAGAGGGTACGAGTTTTTCAACGTGATTTTTTAGACGAAAATAGGCTACGTTTAGTAAAGTTGCCACAACGCAACTTACGGAATTGCGTAGTGTGTAGCACTAAAAATAAGAGAAAAAGATCGCATCTGATTTGTGTACAATGTGAAAAGGGAGTTCATCCAACCTGTTATCATAAACATCAATGTTTTACATAGTAAAAGTTATTTCCAATAAAATATTATTTGTTTTTCAATTTTTTCATATTTTTAATTTATAACATATTTTACGAAAAATATACTATGTACATATATATGTCGGAACAGCCGTCTCTCTGACCATTCCTTCTGGGCGACACATATTAGGTCCTCTCGGGCGACCAAGCCTTTGTCTTGAAGATCTACGCATTTCTATTACTCTTAAAACTTTCAACGAAACTAATTAAACAAACTGAAACTATAACTCAAACACTTTTAAACAACACAAAAGAATGCACAACGATTACGAATGAGTC